ATCTGCATCTAGTGACATAAAAATAAATCACAACCTACCACGCACTTCGAAATTTCAATAGGCAACCCAGAATGTGTCGACTATGCTGCCTACCGCAGTAGCCACTCCTTGTGCCAATGCATGGTCATCACAATTTACAGCCACAAGTGCAGCTGATTGCGCAGCAGTGATCTGGAATGACATGCCTTCTCGCAGGCTGCTGATCGGCCGTATACCGACGCATACTGCATGCGAATGCATTTCTCGACGTATCGTCTGTTTCAAGGAAGGCGTTGCATGCCAGAAGGCACGCAGACATGCAGGGCAAGAGCCTACGGAGATGGTATATAAGCTGACGAGGGGACGCTGCAGAGATTGCCCAACACCACCAACAATCCAAAGCATTTTCTGCCTTTGTCGACCACATCACGACCACATCAATGACTAACATGCCTTGGAACCCATTTTCCGTCTGCGAAATCCCTCACAGTGGTCCTGGCTCCTGTTGCGGCATGACGAAAAAAGGCGAGCCGTGCAAGAACTCGATCAAAGTTGGAGACACCAAGATAGGGCATCAAAAGTTGGCCACTCTCGCGAGAGAGCCGTTTGACCTGTCAAATTTGCAATCGAAGCTCCGCGACGTTGCCAGAGACTTTCTCTGCGCGAGATGGCATCGGCAACGACAGGCCGAACAACTTGGCCAGCAGTGGTATGACGCCGCCGTCCGCAACCAGACACAAGTACCACATGGCTCCAGAATAGCCTGTTCATCAGCTGTTGTGCACTCGGGCCAGCATGAGACATTGTCAGTCTCTCAAAGACGCACTCCACAGTCCGACGAAACTGACGGGTCATCGCGCGGGCTCAGACAAGACACGCCAGTGCTGCCATCGAACCCATATGTGACTTCCACAACGCTACGGACCAACAGTGTCCCGTGGCAAGTGTCGCCGGCCCGACCAGTGTTCTCCTTTCAGCAACGAATCTCCTGGCCGGTTTCCAGAGTTTGACGTTCCAGCGTATCACGCCGTGCGACGAGGTCGACAGCATCCACTGTGCATGGGTATATAGTTTGACTCTTAGCTCATTAGAACCATGACTAGACACTATGCTACAGGTGCAATATAAACCATTCATAATTGAAACCCCTATTCGAGAATGAACCTATGGTATGCACTAAGGAGTGTGTATGTAGTATCCTTCTGTAAGGCCATACAGTAATGAAGGTTTAGTTTACAATTACAATGGAATACAGCCTGTTTCTACATAATTATGCAATTGACGTCCAGTCACGGTTTTTACCTGTTTGTCATGTTTGACGACCCTCAGGGTCCCCGCGGGTAACCCTCATGAGGGTCGGCGTTGGTACGACCCTCCCCGCGGGTCCAGGTCTCGGGCCCTGACCCTCCGCATGGTGAGGTGAGGGTCAGGGTCATGGAGGGTACCCGCGGGTCCTAGCCAGGTCTAATCATAAGCAGTCACTTGACATAACGCCAGCACCTGCCTGATTACTTTCTCACTCTCACACAAAGCCATCTTCAATCCCATGCACACTATCGATAGATGATGAAGTGGAATATCCCACGCTGGCTGTCTCTTTGTGTTGCCACACTAGCTGTTCTTAGCATCGCCAAACCCGTACAGCAAAAGCCTCTCGTCGGCGTGAACGTCATGGTCAAGGAAGATAAGGTCTTCGGCCACAACGATGCTATATACGATACCGTGCCACAAGAAGACCAGCTATTTAGCATCGAGTTCCTTGAGATTGCCCCGACACCTATTCTCGCGTATGAGACCCCCTCCTTGATATGCCCCCTTAAACGTCCTGACATCCTAAAGCGACCGTGTCTTTTTTGTCTACCTACGTGGCGATCTATATGAATCCAAAATGAAGGGACTAGGACTCTCTGATAAGGGCCTTATTGATGCAACCCTCTCTGTGAGCAGCTCTGCTGTCTACCGAGATGGTAGCTACCTAGAACCAACGTCCCTTACAATGCCGTTAAAAACTGTTCTCATTAATGATGCAGCCCATTTCATCATTCGCGATTCCACGGGCGCTCAGGTTGACTACCTACCTAGTAGCGGCCGCGGCGATATATTGCGAGATTTCCAGATCCCTTCAATGTTTTTGAAGAGCGGTATGTGGACCTTTAAAGTCGACGCCAGGCTCGGAGATAAAGACAATTCATGTCTATTTGCCATGTCGTTGACACAATGGTTAGATGGGGGCTTTTGAGAAGTAGGTACTTGGGCTATCTTCTTGACCTCTGGGGTCGTGGAGTTACTACAGAGCATGGAATTTCCGAAATTGGATGGCGATCCCTTAATGGATATTATCATTGATGAATATTGGCATCATAAATAACGCTTATATTCGAGTTCGTAATCGGGTTTGCAGATCCTCAAATCGGCAAAAATATTATCAATTGACTGCCCGGCAAGTACGTCGACCCCGAGGAAGTCAAATGTTTCACAGAAAGTGTGATACTGAGGAATATCGCCTCGCAAAGAGCGGAAACATTTGTGGAGGCCTAATGCGACGTTGCAACCCCTCATACATAAAGACTTGTGGTAATACTACGGTATTTTATTGAGAGAAGAACCATATTCTCGATGCGAGGCGATAGGTTGAACTGGGTGATCAGCCTCAAATTTATATTACGGCAATATTAAACACGAGCAGAATGTAATATGACTACCAATGCCAAGAACCAGCCGGGGGTCATGGGCTTGGTCCTGCCAGTGATGGTGGAAATTTAGAGTAGGGCGTGTCTACCCTCACTCATACTGCCTGCAGGAGCATGGAGCGCCTGGGTACAGTAGTAAATGAGGCCTGTCTTGCAAATCGCGAATTGGAATTGCCTCTCGTTTTGCTCTTTTCGCATCCTTCGCGACAAGGTTGTCAGCGTTGAGGGGGTCAGATCCCCGGCGAGTGGGACACACTGCACGGGCGGAAGCGCCGATTGTCCAAAGTGAAGGTTTTGGTACGGGTGCGGGGAGAGAATGTGGTGGAGTAATTCGGAGGGCAATGCAACCAGCAGCGACGACGATGTGTACGGAACTGGAATTGGTGTCTGTTCATGTAAGGCTTGAACAATAAGCGATGTGACCGGGCTTAACTCTACAGGACTATAAACATTTTAAACTTCATTAAGCCTTGGCTCGAAGGATTTCATGCCTGACATCCCGCCTGTGGTCATGAGATATGTTTCAGGCAGAGCATGTTAAGGTCTATCAAATCGGGTTGCAGCTTCTTGAATTGATACAATTTCTTGCTTATTAATAGCCTGGATAGCTAGTAAGAGCCTACCCTCTTGTTCTATACGTTTTTGAGAAGATTCGGTACGGATTGGTGGCATGGTAGGTGATTAAAGAAGAAAGGTTTAATTTTTTGACGCGTTTTTGGGTGGGGTGGCCACTCGGTGGTGGTGGCCACTCGGTAGTGAATTACGTTAATATGGAGCCAGTGGCTTGTGGCCACTCTCTTCGTTAAGTGATCGATAAAGTATACCCAGGCCTGTTTTGAAATGGGCTTCGTGTCCTGAGCAAGATCTTTGATTGGTAGCCTCCGCCCCACTTTTGCCTGAAATGACGCTGCTATGGTCAGTAAATACGCTCCCTCGGTTTCATATCCAGCACCTCGCTAGTCCTTCTAATTCTTATTCATTATTTTAATTATCAATCACAGCAGTACTTGCCGCTCCTCGCAACACCTGTCAACTTTCAGACTTATTCACGTTACATGCATCGCAAGTATGTTGGTGCACATGCCGTTCTCGCAGTTCGGGATCTTGTCTACCTGTGCTGATTTACAGCTTCATACTAGTTTTGAATGTATTTCCTGAACCTGCCAACCGAATTGATTATGTTGATCGGCGATCGACTGGAATCGGAAAAAGATATTTATGCTCTTCTGAGAACGCACTCGCGATTTTACCAGCCCCTGCTTTCGCATCTATACAAACGCAACGTCAATTTCTCTTCGAGCTCCGCTTTGTCATGGTGTGTCAGTCACGGCAACGAAGAAGGTGTGAGCTTATTACTGAGAATGGGCGCAAACCTTCAATGCTACTGCAAGGCTCCCCTTCCTGATTCATGGAAATTCGATGAAGATTATGGAAGTGCTTTACATTTCGCCACGAGCCAGACTATGACTAAACTTCTTCTCGACAACGGAGCCGACGTGAACGGATTAACTCTATACGGGACCTCAGCATTGCATATGGCAGTGGAAAATGGACAGCTAGGTATGGCGAAGCTACTGCTTGATTACGGTGCACTGGTCCGCACAGAGAGCGAAGGGGAAACTGCTCGGGCCAGTCTGCGTGGATCACCCCAGAGTCTGGCAAATAAGATTTGAGCCGTCTGTTCTGGGGGCCGTCGATCGTGTTCCAGAACCGAGCAGTCGCTGATGCCAGCTCTGTATGTGCTTGGTCCAACAGGCGCTTAATATCAGTCCATAGAGCCAGATCTTGCAAAGCGGCATTCGTGGACTCCAGCTGCTGCTACAGCTGGCAGAGCTTTCGCCTGACTCTCTGACACTCGACAAATGCTCTATATCTTGCTGTGATGGCCTGCTGAGGTTTTGAAGTCTCCTGAGCTTCCTCGGTTTGAAGTTGTTTCATTAACTGACAACCATTATTTTGTCCCCCAGCTCCCTCTTATCGAGATCTTTCTGAAACCTTTTCACGTTCTCACCACTTGAAGACGGTTTCTTGTGGGGAATAACTAGAATCATCAGTAAAGAGTATATTGAAACGAAAGTTATGCAAAACAACCATATTTTTTTCTCAACCTTAGCCATACAAGCTGTATTCCGAGCCCGAATCACTTACCGCTGGTGGATTCTCCAGATTAAATTCTAAATATCGCTTTCGAGTATCCCAGGTCGATCAATGTTCAATCTTGAATTAAAATGCCCCGTACTCGTGGTCTCGGTATCGTGGCTATGCTATATAAGGTTCCCCATTAGATGTTGAAAAAGACAAGACAAAAAGTGATAGGCTTCTTTGTGAAATTTATTCGGTACAAACCTTGAACAATACTGCAGATATAGTATCGGCATCTTCGACATTGACTTTTCGGTATAATAGCTGTAAAACACATTTATAATCATATGCCTCGGCAGATAATTGTTCAAGCTTCCTGTTTCAAATGATGTTAATTCAAGCTGAATCATCAAATTGGATTTGATTTACCTTTGCGTTTCATCCCGTTTCCTCGCTGGGTACTGACAAATGTGTTGCAGCATCATACAACGCTGGCACCGAGGCTTTTCTCCGGTGCACTTTGATTTGCTCGCACGACATGGAGCACATGCACGCGGAATACGACGTTGCAATGGTGAAGCAGGCTTGTGCAATCTTGGAATCGGCAACTTTGACGAAGGATTAGGAGAAGTTGTAGGGTCCGGCAAATAGGCTTCCTCTAGCTGTTCCGCATTTGGTTGTTGTTCACTCTCCTTCCCGCAGATGTCAGACTTGCTCTGTGAGTTCCCATACCCAGGAGATAGGTCGATGTCTTCATTCATGATGTAAATAAGATCCATGGGTCCCATAGAAATCAAAAGTTTTCGACTAGGGGAGACAGGTTTGCAGTCTCACCGCCAAAGAATTGGGTGTGGGGAGCCTCAGGTGCCTACCCTGGACAACAAAAGTGTTCAAGTTTGAACTGTAGATTTTATTCGCGGCTCCCGTCGCCACACACCCCACACACCGTGAAGGCGGTGTGGAGCAACGAGAGTTTTTCCACTCCGGAGGACGTTCATATGTCAACAAAAGAGGGTCTCAATTTTACTACCTCTGTCTGATGATCGTAAGGCTCTCAACGACCTTACTAAGCTCATCCCCTATTTATTCTGTACTTTCTATAGTAGTATATAAAAAACACACTGTCAAGTACTCAATTGGCTATGCCCGTACTAGTCCGTACTGTAACGACCACGTTCCGACAATAAGCTATGCCGACTCGTTCCGGTTAGACGTCTTGGACTGGTTGCAATATTTGTTATCGGATAGATATCGGACGATTATCCAACAGCTTAACTTGAATATTGTAGTCGCATCGGACGGGAAATCTAAATATCGTAGTCATATCGACGTCGGCTGCGATACGACACGATATGATGTCATCGATCCGTCCGATGCTGCCGCAGCCTAGGCGTACTAATGAGGTAGGCGTTATAAAAGGCGGTCAGGCAAAACGTGGCTCCCGGAGTACCGGACGCAAATACTTTTGTTACACCACTGTACTTGCTGAAACGCCCGTGGCCATACACCATAATTCGAAGCAGTTTACCCCCGGGCACATACATTATATTTCTCTAATTCATATCCAAAAGCAAGCTAGTCCCTATCAAGATGCGGTGTAAATAATGCATTATTAAGAATATTGATCCCCTTTAATTCCAAATCAACTGCATTTCAGATAATATTGTATTTTATACGAGAATACGCTCGGAACCTTTTTGCCTCTATACCTGCGCAAATAATCTTTCTCAGCAGTACCACCTTCTAATAGGTGATAGAATTTCCGCATAATATGGCACCAAAGCAACCCCTGGCGTATCTATGCCTTTTGTGGTGCCTGGTTCTTTGTTATTCATTTTGGCCACAGCAAAGGCGCAGTTAAGGAAAGAAAATCTTCTAAATGCGCCTGAATAGCATGGCCCGCTAAATTGGCTGCACCGCATCCTTGCTGAGGGCCAATAAGATGCGAGCTAATATTGCTGACATCTGGCGACTTGTTGAGTATGATCTCTTGAAAATATAGCATAGTCATCTCTAAGCAACTTATGTCTCGGACAAGTGCAACACCATTATTGTTATAGCTTTTTCTCTTGCCTCACTTGCCTAGAAGCAAACAGCAGAATCTGCGATCACGGTCTGGAGGGAGTCACAATCTGGGAATGCGGCGGCAGAGAGGTCGCTCTTTAAATATGTCGACACCCAGGTTTCCCACACGACAGGATTATGTAGAGGTTAAGGGTAGGGACACTACTCTGCAGCTATCCTTACCTTCACGGGCGAGCCACGGAAATCGCGAACATCAGATGGAAAGTGCCGGAATCACACAGTTGGAAACTTATTCGTCAAATGAAAGCTCAGCGCTGGTAGATCCACACTCTGCTCGAGAACCGGACGTTCGAACCCCTACAATGTTTTCACGAAGTTCGGGAGAAAGTCCGTTACTAAGACATTCATGCAGGTGAGCTTTCATGCTCGGCGTTTACTACAAGTTGCTGAACACTGTCTACAGTAATTGTGGAACGACCAGGATCCCAATCTGGCGACGGTCTTCGGAAGGAGCTGTAATTTGCAACGCTTGCGGTCTTTATTTCAGATCCCACAAAGCTCCGCGGCCTAGAGGAGCGGACCACATGCAGCAAAGGGCTAGCGAAAATGTTTCTCCCGCTAGCAAAAATCATATTAATCTACCGCGAACCTTACTCGTGCCATCTGGAAGGGACTATTATAAAGAAACAGGGGGCTCCTGCCCTGGTTCTGGGAATTGCAATGGCACTGGAGGTGCAGATGGCTGTGAAGGCTGTCCAGTCTTCTACAATCGTAACTCGCACCAACTTGTATCGGATACCCGCGAGATTTTTTCGTCAGTCGCCCAAGGGAGCTCGGCTGCAATCGCGCAAGAATCAAACGCGCCGATACATGACGCTGCTGCCATTGGATATTCAATGCTAGTTGCTTGTCGGCATTGCGGGACGACTATAACGCCTATGTGGCGGCGGGACGAACGTGGCCATTCTATCTGCAATGCCTGTGGTAAAAGCTCACTTAAATCTTACGATTCGGGAACAAAATTAATTTAACGGGAACAGGATTGTATTACAAGCTCCACCGCTGCTATCGCCCTGCTACGAAAAGGAAAGCGATTGTGAGGCGGCGTCAGCGGCTAGTGCATAATAACACACCCGTTCTTCCATCGAACGAGCCTATCTCGTATCTCGGAGCATCTTCGCCAGCTTTAGTCAGCAGCTATGACTTGAACAATTCTAACATGGTTATTAATGCACCTAACTTGGAACAACGATCCCCGGCAGCAGCGGAACATACGACACACCTTTTAGAGCCACTAGAACCTGAACCTGTGCGACATTCGCCAATTTCACAGAAATTGTCGGCTACACCTGGATCGTTTGACGTATATGCTAAACGAGAGCTAGCTTTGACAGGAGCTTCTCGTAATCCTCGCAAGCCCGATTCAAGCCAAACAAAATCCGTGCCCTCAGCTCCTCCTCCTCCTCCTCCGCCACCGCCTCAGAGTGGCCCGAGTACGCTTCCGTGGATGTTGGACTCGATGTATGGTGAACATTTCGATGGGATTCCAAAAAGCCATTCATACTTGAGCCAATTAGATCTCGCATCGATACATGCGATAGGGCACCGACCGCAGATCCTGTCTGGACTGTTTTATACGGCTGAGTCTACAGACGAGCGGTGGGCCAGACTGAATAGAGAAGCGGAACAGATGCGTGAAGTTCTTGGAGCCAAAGAGCGGGAGCTGGCCAAAATAAGCAGGTGGTGAGAATTGCGTGTATATATATTATGTTGAGATTATACGATGTCTCCTAGTAGAGGATGAATGAAGCATGCAAACAGTCGATTCTGACAGGTGTTTAATTCTGGTCTTTTTCTCAATGAGAAAGAGACCCTATTTAAGTGGAAGAATTTCCCCTGAACTATACTTATTGAGGAAGGATTCACGCTAACTGATTTATGCCTGATATATCTGGTATACACCATCTATTCATGCAGGAATCTCAACATATTATAATTGAGGAGGCAAGGCGCCTCAGCTCGTAATTATATGCATGTAACTTCACGCTTCTATCTACAAATACTTCAGATCCCTAGCTGTGATGAAGACTGTACGACCACATACTGGAAGAAATCTTTGACTGACCATTTTCGATCCCGATATGAGTCCGGCGTCGGATAGTGGAGAGCCTGGCAGCGTCGAAACTGCAGTTACCAGCCAGGCTTCACCAAAAGAAGCCTCAGGAGCAGGGGAGGATAAGGTTGTTCGCCAAGTACGACGATTTCCAGCGGACAGCCGAAAGCTACAGTATTCATCCCCCATAGAAAATAATACGCAAACCAGAAAAGTCGAAATGAGCAACGATTCGAAATGGGTAGAAAATAAACTGGCACAGGGGCACAGATAGTTCCGGAGTGATATATGCAGAAACATTCACAAACAACACGCTGGCTGATATACAGCGCGACGCTAGCGTGTTAAGGCGCGCCAAGGTAAGCTAGTTACTTATATAGTAGGCGGTATAAATCTGCGGCCAAGGACCCGAAATACCCGGTCCCGACAACTCGGCCGGAAACACTGTATTTGGCCATCCATGCAGGTTGACACCCTTCAACAATCCACTCCTGCGCTGTCTGTCTCAAGCTCGAACTGTTATCAGCTCAATCAGTGAACTGCACTCCAAGGGAAATAAAATTACGAAAAATATTCCCCCAAGCTAATCCTCCTGCTACTTCTTTGTCCACTACTACCGCAAGTCATGCTCAACAACAGAATGCAGATGCTGGCCCCCCGATCTTTTATTTTAGAGGTTTAGGCTACACCGATGAAGAATTGGGCTGGCACGTGGGTGTCGTTCATTAAATGAAAAGGTAGCTATAAATCCAAGGGTTGCACAGTTCCTTGTCGCAATTTTTGATGGCAAAAATGTTCAGGGTTGCCGTGGTATTCACTGTCCGAGCTGCATACTTTGAATAAATTCATCTAACGTCCCCTAGACGGTTATGCAATGCCGAGGTACAGTCTGACTCCTGGCCCTCCTTCAAACCATCTTCAGTTGACTCAAAGCTTGTGGCTGGGCCTCTGTGGGGAACGTTTTGAGGCATTCTTGTTTTTGTTTAGTAACTTGCAGAAATGTTGACTCAGAATCTTCCTCAAAATTTCGTGGACGACGAAGTGTGTAAGGAGAAACCGCGGAGATGATATGCGGGCAGGAGAAGGCAAAGACGAGGATTTGTGAGTTCTGTTCTAATGTGCAGTATTCAAAGACCTCATACGTTTTTGAAGTCCTAGGTCAAGATGCATACGAGGATAATCAAAACGCTTTCACGAAAAATGATCGAAAAGCGCAAGGGGCATGTATCGACATAACAAGAAGAATAGCATAATTCCCACCAAGGAAACAGGGTTGGTTATCAGCTTTCGTGAAATAGTGCAGAATTCATGAGCCAAATTTCCGCTTTCCATTATGGTCAAGCCTATAGCAAATCAAAGGAATTGACGACGATAACGGTATCACTGACATGCTATGTGGAGATCGGTGTGTTCGGAATAAACTGGGAAGATAGAGAAAACCCGATAATTAGCGTAATACTAGGGCCCACGGTCAACGTCCAATCCAAGTGTAGAGGCGTGACGCGAGAGAAGATCCATATAAATAAGCCAAGCTCGCTGCGAGGAGGGATCTTTGGCGGACATCTCGTTCAGCCACCGGGTAACCTTTTTGACCTTCTTTACAATGATGGTTGCATCAGCTAT